GATCATTGAGTGGGCATAAATTCAGTAATGGATCTCTGGGTTTCTTTTTACCTACAGTACATTATACAGCATGACGGTAAAAGCATCATCATCTGGTCTAACCTCCATTTCAAAGCAACTGCTTCAGATTGTCCAGGGTCCTCTTCAGTGAAAAAGTCTGTAACTTTACTAATACAGAGACCCCGTTTTAATTAACAAACTTTTTTCATTCCAGTAGATATGTTCAAGGTGCCAGTCTACTGACCGATTTTTTCCATAAGGAATATTGTGAAAGATTAGTTCCCATTTTCAGACCCCCAAACATAACACGTACAAACGCACTTAATACAAAATACACTTACATAAAGTGGTCGCATTTTGGAGGTGATCAGCGAGCGGTAAGTGAGCGGCGGGTTCCCTGTATATATGCGATCTGACTCATGTAACTGCGCATATGGATGTTCAACTGCGTGTTATTCTACTTCATTGTCGTTCATCTTCCTCTGATTAACTATGGAAACCTGGCGATTCCCCTAGTATCTGTATAATCGGCAACCTTCCGCCCCAATTCCTCTGGCTCCTGTCTGCTTCTTTCATCATCCTCTTCTAGAGCTCATTCACAACTTCATTCATAACCTTCAAACCATCACCTGGTAATCTCCTTGCAGCTGAACAATTTCTTGATCCGAACGCCTCCCAATCTCCTTGCCAGCTGAACAAATTTCTTGAACCAAACTCCCCAAGCAAGAGAAAAATCCAGTCAACACAGAATTAAAATACAGAAGGGCCATAACTTTCGCCCAGCTCTTACACATATTAAATGTTGACTGGGGAACTTCATTCCTTGAACTTCTCCCCTAAGCATAGCTGATGGCATCTGACAGATATTAAATTTATTCCACACACTTGGTACTGCCAGGTTGAGTCGAGAGTCCTTGATGCAACACTAGTTTCTTAGACATACTTTTTTGTGTAGTTACACTTGAATGACTTAACCATCATGTCCAGTTTGTTGAATCAGGGATGGTTGTAATTTCGAGGTAAAATACTACTTTTACATGTGGGGTTGCATCGCAGCTAATCATTGCGTATGCTCCCTACTGGGTGTACATGATTCTGCTTGGCAGATTTAAGATTTGGTCAATTAAATATTTTATCTAAACAAACACAGCGAGCCCCGTAGCAGAGGTTCTCCAACACATGCATGAACCAGCTGGCGAGGTGGCGAGGGATGGAGAATCCCCGTGCACTCAAATTTTTCCGCCCCCATCCCGCAGACTGAACAATGTTAAATTAATTTTACGGAAATGTTGGTATAAAATTGTGGCCACAATTCTTCAATCATGCTATATCCAAAATGTGCCAAATAAACTCTGTTAAATGATGGTCCATACTGTAATCTTATAATTAAAATGTATGTGCACCTGTACCTAATTGATACTTTACCCACTGGGCTGGCATGCAGGTACACATTCATCATCTATCTTCTCTACTCTTGACGCCATATTTAATAATAAGATACTAATCTCTTTGGTCCCATCAATTGTCGTATAACTGCGATATTTTTTTCAAAATTAACATCTAATAAACATGCTACTACCATATATGGAAACATGAATAAATACACACCACAGTAGAATAAATTAACAAATAATCGAGATGTGGTAACCAGAGACGAACTTATAGGAGGTGACGGCAAGCGAATAAACGTTTCCTCTGTTTCAAACCATCAGAGAATATTTTTATTCTACTGTATCAGATGTGGATACAACTTGTTACACAAAGAAAGTGTTTTGTATTATGAAAAATTATGTATTATAACGAAAACCATAACGCATTCACATGGTTATGTTTACATTACGTGTCTCTGCCCTGGCTGACTACCTACTAAAACTTCCAAACCTGACTTCTTACAAATAAAAACTCGCTTCTCACCCTACATAAATCAACAAATATTTTAAGGTAATGGGGGTACTGCTATTTTAACTTGTTTGTTGCTTTTGAATACCTAGTTCAACTGCTACTTAATACAGTGGAACCTCAAATATCGAACTTTCTTCGGCGTCCCGAGAAGGCTGTCGAGTGCTTTACCGAATGAATTTTTATTCCATCAGAAACATGTAAACTAGATTAGTCCATTTCAGACCCTGCAAAAATGCCTTATAAAAGCACTTACAATAAATACATTTACATAATTGGTCGTGTTGGGAGCAGTTCGATTTTTAAAGGTTCCACTGTATATGTTAGTGAAACCTTGTTATCTGGCATTCATATCCATTTATTAAGTGTAAGAAATAGGCTTCATGCTTTCCAGCGATGTCCTGCTTCTTGACACTAACCCTGCCTATTAGGTTGGGGGCCCACTGTATATACCAGAGTACAGTGTACCATCACTGTTGTATGGGTGTGAGGCATTGAAAACTTTACAACATAGCAATAGAGGAAGGGGCTGATGCAATGGAGATGTCAAATTTTGAGGGTAATGTGTGTGTTAATGTTAGTAGAGAATTCAGAGCTTGGAGAGTAGAAGTCTGTTGGTTATTAAAATTATAAATTCAGAAAGATTAGGAGTGCTTGTTGAGCTGGTTGGGACATTAGAGAGGATGAGAGAAAAATAGGGAATGACTAGGAGGAGGGATAGAGAGGAAGGAGTCATCTCTAAGGAAAAAGTTGGGCAGAGGACTAGAGGGAGATCGATGAAGACTAGGGGCTGAACATCCAACAAGGTTGTGTGACACATGTGTGAGGCAAGTTGTTTTCATAAACTTAACATGTATTGGGATGTGAGCAGGGAATATTTGGTGAAGGAATTCAGGAAACTGGTAAGGCGCAGATGTTGGGTCCTTAAGATAGGAAGCACAGTGCCTGCACCCAAAAGGATGGCAAGGATCTGGCAATTTTGATTGTGATGTCACATGCTTAAAACAAAAAAAATGTTGGATAGAGACAATTAAGCTGAAAAAGTCTAGGAACAAATGGTCTTGGCAGTTAAAAATGAAAAAGCAAGATATTTGAAAGGAGGTCAAGGTATTAAAACATGGAGAGAATATTCTGAAGAGTCATGAACACTGAAGAATGAAAGGGAAGCACAATATAGAGCAAAGGAATATTATTGTTAATTAAACATGCAAATAACAAAAAGGGAAGTATTTATGAATCGCAGAGGGCATGTCACATCTTTAGATAAGAAAAAAAATAGGGACAGGAATACTAAGAATTATATTGCCATTGTTGCCATTTATGGATTCAGAAATGACTTAAGAATGGAGGGATAGGGAATAAATGTTGTCAGGTGTTGCAAATTTAAGGAATAGGTTGGTAAGTATTAAAGCAGTAGAGAGGTTTTATGAAAAGGCACAAGTTAGGATTTGCAAGAGAAAGGAACTAAAGTAGGCCTTAGAAAATGTGGGATGTTATCATTGTTTTAATATAACATATACAAATGTGGTAGTAGAAAAAAAAATAATTTAATTGTTAGTGGGAGGGAGGGGGTTAGGGAAGTGTGGGCCTTTAAAAAAATTGATAGAGTGGTAAGTGGTCGCAATATTTTTTGTTAAAAAGGGCTTATGGAGCTTAACAAGAAAACTAAAATAGTTGGTATAGAATTTAAGGATGTGTAAAAAATAAAGTGAAAGGTTAGAAAAGATCAAAGTGATAAGAGAATGAAAAAATAATAGACAAAGATAGATTCAGCATCAACATTAGATTAGAGGGATAGCATATATAGGAAGTAGAAATGCTTCCAAGTCATTTGGGAGTGTGATGATGGGGTAAATCAGATTAAGAAGTGGGGTGGAGTTTTCGAGGCATCTATGGAAAGAAGGAAAGAAAGTCTAAAAAGATGGAAGTATAAATGCAGAATGTAACCAGAACATTTGGTGGCACCTGTTATGTATGGTCCTTGATGTTGGCAGCAAGAAGACAGCTGAAGACAGTGATGTCATGCTTGAAAACAATGTGGTGTGTACATATTATGCAGAGTTGCAAAACAACCATTGTGAAAGAATAGTTAAATTCCAGGTACCTTTATGACTACTTCCATTATCAAGGAACTATAAAAAAACGCATACATCAAAGAGGCATATAGAAGGGTCGAGAACCACACCCTCACCATCACACCCACAACAAAGCAAACACCTGCCATGCGTCCACCCAAACTCATAAGAAAAGAAGTAACACTGGCAGCATGGCCTGTTGGCCCAGTCTAGGACAGGTCCTTCAATGACACTCCAGCTAACAAAAATTATTTACCACAAAATATTTGTGTTGGTATAAAGTATTATGAGACACAAGAGTATAGGAGGGGTTTTTTGAGATGTTTGGTCATTTAGAAAGGATCGAGCAGACAATGGTGATTAAGAGGATAATAAATCTAGGGTTTTGACAGAATAGGTTACATTCCAGAGTCCATGGAAGAAGAACTGGAAAGAGATTTTTGAGTATAGGAGCATGATATCTAGCAGGCATGCATAAGCATTTTTAGATTGAATGGAAAAAAAAAAAAAGGGATTTGACATGCTATTAGAGGTGTGAGAAAAGTAACATTTAATGAATAGACTTGGGAAACTGGTTATACCAACTGTACTCTGAAGGATGGTGGGGATGTTGCAGAATGTATGGTCATTTGAACTGTGGACAATTTTCTGGCAGCATAGCTATAAAATGAGTAATGATAAATCGTGTTTCTTTCTTGGGTCACACCTTGCAAAAAATGCAATTGTGTTAAGTCCATAATGAGGTAAATAGTAAATAACATAACAGAACTACTATGTAATCACTCTAGCCTGCTTTATCCCACATATCTAATGCATGTATGTTAAGTGAAAGTTTCCACAATTAAAAAACCTACAATAGTAAACAATATGCAAAAACTAACCAGTTCATCGAGCCGGAGTTAGTCGATCATTAACTTGCCTTGAGTCATCGTTGCTACGTTCTCTTCATTTGCATGTGGTAGATCTTCGGACAAACTTCTCCTCGTGCACGGTAGAACTCTCTTTCACGTTTTAATTCATCTGAAATTTTTTTTTGCTATCTAGGTATTTTCTTCACCTAAGGAGTATTCATTTCCACTTAAATTCTGAGCAATGCATATGTATACCATAAATGTAGCATTAGCTCTTATAATTTCTCTATTTACAAAGCTTAGACAAGCCATTGGCTTAATGCACATACACAGTAGGGCTCCAATTAAAGACTTGGATGCAGTCCAGAAAAGTTTTTCATACTGACAGTGTTTGGATCTCTATTTTCCCACAGACAGCCATGTTGTAATTGGATACACATTCCTGAGCCATAAATATTTATTCAGTTTATTCAGTATTGTTTGTTTTCTCATACAATTAGCATTAAGCATTGTTTAATAAATGTTTACAAGTTAATTACATAGGACAGTATACAATACTGTGCACACATGAAGGGGCAGGCAACAGTGCTGCTAGACTAAGATGGGAGGAATGAGAAAAGGTCAGGAGGGAAAAGAGGGGGGGGAAGTTTGAAGAAAAAGGTAGGGGTCAGGATGGGGAGAGAGAATAAGGAGGGAGGGCAGTAGAGAAAGAGGGAAAGCATGCAGTGTGGAAAGATAGTCGTGAGTAGAAGAAGGTGTGGAGTGAGGTCCCATGTTTCCCCACTGAACATGTACAGCATGCAGGAGCAGCAGTGGCAACTACCATAACTCAACCAAACAACCTAATTGTTTCATCTACACTTCCTAACCAGTCTCAAAAATCCACATATATAACAATGCATTCAAAATAGCAAAGCATTTGGTGAACTAAGAAAAATACATTAAAAATTCTTAAATATTTAATCTAAAGTGCTTGACCAATCTATTGAATAAATATGAGCTTTCTATACATGCATAAAATGAATATACACAAAGTGTGAATGCATTTGATAAAAAATAAGAAAAAATATTTAAAAATATTTGACATTTGAAAGTAATTACAGCCTCTCCTCACTTAATGACGGAGTTCCATTCCTAAGACCACGTCATTAAACAAATTCCTCGCTAAGTGAGGAGCATACTATAATGGTAGTGGGTTTGTGTCAACCATCTCTGATGTTGTTTTAATGTCACCTTTGCACCATTTATAACATTTCTGGTTTATACAGTAGTGTACTCTACATTTAAATAAACAGAATAGAGGAAATCAGCTCTAATATATATTATTTAGGTATAAATACTGGTCAGAGAGCCTGTCATAAGTCTGAGGTGTCGGTAAACGAGTATGTCGCTAAGTAAGGAGAGGTTGTAATTGGTTCCAAAGTGATAATATCGTAAATGCCTTGTTTTCTCCGTGACAGCTGTGTAGAGATGAGCAATACCTGGATTCTCCCCTCTTCTCACTTTACTATTCATTCCTACATTCTCTTGCATCATAACTAACTCAAAGCTCTTTATACATGCTCACTACTCCCTTACTTATGGTAAAGGTATTAGGTGCCTGGATATATATAAAGGAGGAAGGCATAGCAGAGAGGATAACTGAGGATGTGGTGTGAGAGTGCATGCATGCACACACAAGAAACTAACTGAGGTTTTAACCTATTTCTTGGCTAATAAAATACATGGTTTAGGCCATCCCAATAATTGATGAAGACCTAGTGAAAACCCATAACACAGACTGGAGGGGGAAAGGAGCAGTAACAGGTCCCCCTACCTTTCATTAGGAAAAAAAAAAAAAAAAAAAAAAAAAAAAAAAAATCTACCACTTTGAGGCCTATTTCAAGCCACTTCTGGCCAGAAAATAACCAAAATTATCCCTATTTCACTAGCATGTCTTTAATTTTATCAATTTAACTGAGGAACAGTCAATAAAACCATGAAAACCACCCTAAACCATGCCTCAAGTTGCTGTTTAAAACCTAACCTAAGGCCAGGGGTTAGCTGTTCCCATTATGCACTATGCTGAGTAGGATTTTTTTATACGAACACACCCACTGAACTGACCCAGTCTCTCATGTTTAGGTTAAAAGATACTGCTCATCATACTTGAGGACACTATGATTAAGACCTAGATCTATGCAAGTCCCACAGACCTCAATAGCAGATCTACGTGAGACAGTGACAGCGTTAAAATACTTGCAATGAATATAACTTCAGGGACATACTGTGTATTTGTTGTGTAAAAAGGAATAGTTCAGAGAACTGAGGGGTTGTTGAGACAGTTTGGGCAGTTAGAGAGGATGGACAGGGATAGGTTGACAAAGGGAGTGTATAAATCTAGAGCAGAAGGTAGAAGGGGAATGAGTCATCCCAGGAATGGCTGGAGGGAGGAGATACAAGATGCTTTGAGTTTCAAGGGGCAAGTTTATTTAGATACATATACACAATTACAGTTACACAAATTATCATACAAAGTAACATGTGAAAATTACCTAGGATAACCCAAAAAATTCAGACAAAGTGATTTATTTCCATTGGGGCTTGAAGATCCAGAGCGTGTTGGATGGGAGTGAATAGAGACATATGTTTTTTTAATTGATGTGTTGCTGTAGTGTGAGCAGGGTAACTTTTATGAAGTGATTCAAGGAAACCAGTTAGCCAGACTTGAGTCCTGAGGTGGGAGGGGCTCTCAGAGCCTGCCCTCTAGAGGGGTAAGATGTTGAAATTGGATGGTTAAGTTGAATGTGATGTCAGCACACTATTGGAAAGACTGATCAAGTTTTAAAAAATATATACAGTAGGGCCCCAACAATGTCATTTTAAGCCAATCTTTCAGTACTGGGAACCTATTTTTCCATACGAAATAATGTAAAACAAATTAATGCATTCTAGTGTTATAATATTCCCCATCTAATTTCAGTTAATTATTTTCCAACGAATTTTTATCCAATATTTTACAATCAGTAGTTTCTTCACTTACATACAGAGGGTTAAAGTGGGTGTATCTGATTCTGGATGGTATGGGGATGAGTGGTGTGGGTGCAAGTGGGTAAGTGAGAGGGCTGGTGGTGTGGGTGTAAGGGTTGGTGGTGCAAATGTGACTGGTGGTGTGTTTTTGATGGGTAGATGAGTAAGGGGTGGGTGTGAAGGTGGTGTGTGATGGGTGGTGTGAGTGTGAGGGAGTGTTAGCAGTGTAGTGTCCCATCTTAGTCCAACTGTTTATGGAACATATCCACAATAGCTAGACTCCTTCCAGGCCCACAGTCAACCCACCCACCTCCTTGCCACACTAACCTCCACCAGTCCTCCCTCACCACCAACCAGTGATATGCTAACACAAAGTCAAGATTAAATTTTTACTTCCTGACTAATCTTCACCAAACAAATGCGAGTTCCCCATAAATGCATAGTCTGAATGAATTTGGTAAAAACTAGCCAAGAAAAATATATTATAATTCATTATTAAGAAAACAACAATAGCTGTCCTTATGTCAGAATAGCGAGTCATTATTCACAAGTAATTAACTGGTCCCAAAATCCCAATGTAATAAGTGTAAAACCTCACAAGTTAGGGCCCTATTATATGTTCTGTACAATACAAACAATAATTCAAATTTATATTTGGTGCTTACCTTCTTGAAGTAAAGGTACAAGCTTGCATACAATATCCTGCATGGTTCGATCGAATGAAATGTAGTTTAAAGGGTGCGACTGATGAATGACAATGTCGCAAGTTGGACAAGTATTGCGCTCTTCCAGGTGTTTTACCAGACATGATTTGCAAACTGTGGAGAACAAAGGATAATAAGACAAATACTTTTAAAACAAAAATATTTGGGCAAGTAAAGCAAGGGTAATAATTAAAGGGCATTCAACTAATCAAAGTCTAAATTACCTTTATTTTACCCAACATGAGTGAGAAAATTTAGCCACATATAACTGCATAACTAGTTAATTTATTTTAACACTGGCTGTCTCCCAACAAGGTACAGAAAAAAAAAAAAAAAAAAAAAAAAAAATAGGGTGACCCATTTTTTTGGATCACCCTACCTCAGTGGGAGATGGCCAGAGTTAAAAAATGTATAAATAATTACATGAGGCTAGGCACATTCATTTTAACTACCATTAAATTAAAACTATTTTAAAAACTGCATTAACCCACATTCACCAAATGAGAAACTGTTTTTGACAGTAACATACAAAAAAGAATCTGGTTTTCTTATCCAGAATGGCTGCAGTAAGACAGGTTGATGCAGGTGTGTAAACCTGAAGTGGATGGGGAAGTGTAACTTGTCAAATTATACCATTTAAAGCAAGCTTCTCCTCTGTATTAGTGCAAATAAAATTACATTATCATCTGCTTAAAATGTACTTTTTCATCCCCACTACAACACTATTCCACTTCCATGGGATGGATGGCACCTAAAAAATTGAATAAATTAAATTATAGAGATACATGGTGATTGCCCATCCTTAAATATGCAAGCACGTGCATGCACACACATGCACGCACACGCATGCACACACACACACGCATGCACACACACACACATGCATGCACACACACACACGCATGCACACACACGCATGCACACACACATGGTACGTAATGATGTATCACAGTGGGCACCTGTGACGAGCGGGGTCCCACAGGGGTCGGTCCTAGGACCAGTGCTATTTTTGGTATATGTGAACGACATGACGGAAGGGTTAGACTCAGAAGTGTCCCTGTTTGCAGATGATGTGAAGTTAATGAGGAGAATTAAATCTGATGAGGACCAGGCAGGACTTCAAAGAGACCTGGACAGACTGGACACCTGGTTCAGCAAATGGCTTCTCGAATTTATCCTGCCAAATGCAAAGTCATGAAGATGGGGGAGGGGCACAGAAGACCACAGACAGAGTATAGGTAGGTGGCCAAAGACTGCAAACCTCACTCAAGGAGAAAGATCTTGGGGTGAGTATAACACCGAGCATGTCTCCGGAAGCACACATCAATCAGATAACTGCTGCAGCACATGGGCGCCTGGCAAACCTGAGAACAGCATTCCGATACCTTAGTAAGGATCATTCAAGACACTGTACAACCGTGTATGTCAGGCCCATACTGGAGTATGCAGCACCTGTTGGAACCCGCACTTGATAAAGCACGTCAAGAAACTAGAGAAAGTACAAAGGTTTGCGACAAGGTTAGTTCCAGAGCTAAGGGGAATGTCCTATTAGGAAAGATTAAGGGAAATCGGCCTGACCACACTGGAGGACAGGAGGGTCAGGGGAGACATGATAACGACATATAAAATACTGCGTGGAATAGACAAGGTGGACAAAGACGGATGTTCCAGGGAGGGGACACAGAAACAAGAGGCCACAATTGGAGTTGAAGACACAAATGAGTCAGAGAGATAGTAGGAAGTATTTCTTCAGTCATAAGTTGTAAGGCAGTGGAATAGCCTAGAAAATGACGTAGTGGAGGCAGGAACCATACACAGTTTTAAGACGAGGTTTGATAAAGCTCATGGAGCGGGAGAGAGAGGGCCTATAGCAACCGGTGAAGAGGCGGGCCAGGAGCTAGGACTCGACCCCTGCAACCACAAATAGGGGAGTACAAAAGGTGAGTACCACACAACCAACACCACACACACACACACACACCCACAACACACACACACACAACACACAAGCATGAGGTAACTGAAAATTTTCAATTA